CACCCCATCGAAGATGGAGCTCCTTTCCCGTCCATCTTTGTTTACAGTCACCACATCCCACTGCCCTGAGCGAGAGAAATCCGGGCGCTGCTTCACACTTTTCACACGGGTCTAATACAAACGCAAAGGAGAGGGAACACTGCTCATGTCATCGACCTTGCAATTTGTTAAAAGAAACAATTTCAGGTAATCTAGTTTTAGAACCTTAATCAAATTCCTCTATGTTGTTGAATTTAAAGGACAGGAGAAAATAGCTCTTCTGCCTTTGAAAATAGCATTTGGAGAGGTGAACATACGGCTCATGGGGAGAGCACTCCAGCTTCCTCGATGTGCGACCTCTCACCTGGAAGCGGATGTGAGGGAGCAGCTGGAAGTGCTCGGCGTACATGCAGAAGTAGTCCATGATGAGTGAGTTGTGCATGTAGTTGGGGAAGTGGGCAGGGATGGGGAAATCGCTGAAGCACATCATCTCTTTGGAAGTGTTGATGATGACGGAACGGTATATACTGGCACGGTCGGGCTCTGGATTCTCCTGAGAACGATATAGGAACAGGGGGGAAATGGAGTAGATTTAGTCAAATTACAAAGCCGTCTGCAATCTACTGAAGTGCTTTATTGCCAAGATTGCCGAGTTTGATTTTCCAGAAGTAAGAAAAAGCATAATCTCTGTTACGGTTGACTCATATTCTGGGTGCACATTCATTAGATGAACACATCTGCAAACACACACTGTAGAGTGTCCTGATAACTGTGCAGACCCGAGTTCTTTCCAGGTACATAGAATCTGTTCAGCAGTGAATGTTGGAGGAACCTTAACATACCTTGAATCTCCACAGACCCCCGATGTCATCGCTGCTCTCGAAGCAGACTGGCTCCAGACCTTCATCCAGACAGCACTTGATACAGGCCAGCCCAGAACTGCCCCCACCTATTATAGCAATGCGGCGTGCCATGGTGACTACAGAGAGAGCACAGACAAGGTAACTGGCTTTTCATCAGCTGAAGCAGGTGGAGAGCTTTTGACATGTGACACAGGACCAATGAGTCAATTAACCCCCCCATGGTTAGGGGTGGTCCTGTGGTCTCTTGGTGTAATTAAAGAAGCTTGGCCTGCTTATGCCAGCAGACAGGCAGAATAGTATTTCTCAACAGTCAGGGATTTTATAACTAACAATAATTTGCAATAAATGCACTAATATGCCATTATGTGGAATGTGTATAGCCTTACATAATCAATCGGGGTCTTAAATTGTTTGGTTTCTCTGATCACTTCTTTCTCTTACATATTAAATGGATTTTCAAATAAGTTTTTCCTCATAAGTAAAGCAGAAGGTCACGTATATACCTTGATCTTGACTTACAAGGAAGCGCTTATATAACCAGTTGTGCAGTTTTCCCAAGATCCACCTGAGAGGGAGGAGCCATTGGAGACCTGCTCTGTGGCTCCAGAAGGGGAGGAGCCACAGGCGACACACTCTGTCTCCAAAAGGGGTGGAGCCATAGGCATCCTACCAAGTGTCTCCACAAGGGGAGGGGCCACAGGCATCCTGCCAAGTGTCTCCACAAGGGGAGGGGCCACAGGCATCCTGCCCAGTGCCTCCAGAAGGGAAAGAGCCACAGGTGACACACTCTTTGTCTCCAAAAGGGGAGGGGCCACAGGCATCCTGCCCAGTGTCTCCAGAAGGGGAGGAGCCACAGGTGACACACTCTTTGTCTCCAAAAGGGGACGAGCCACAGGCATCCTGCCCAGTGTCTCCTGAAGGGGAGGAACAACTGGAAAGTTTAAGAGGAATGCAGATATAAGAGGATATGTAGTGGATTGCCTGCTTGAAATATGTAATTTTTAGCCAGCAGCCATAGCACTCTGCAACTCACAACTGGCAACCCAGTGAACCTAAGCAGGTGTGAGCCTGGTCAGTACCTGGATGGGAGACCTCCTGGGAAAAACTAAGGTTGCTGCTAGAAGAGGTGTTAGTGGGGCCAGCAGGGGATGCTCACCCTGCAGTCCATGTGGGTCCTAATGCCCCTGTAGAGTGATGGGGACACTATACTATAAACAGGCGCTATCCTTCAGATGAGACATAAAACCGAGGCCCTGACTCTCTGTGGTCATTAAAAATCCCAGGGTTCTTCTCGAAAAGAGTAGGGGTGTAACCCCAGCGTCCTGGCCAAATTTCCCATTGGCCCTTACCAATCATGGCTTCCTAATAATCCCCATCTATGAATTGGCTTCATTACTCTCTGCTCTCCTCCCCACTGAAAGCTGATGTGTTTAGTGTTCTCGTGCACTATGGCAGCCCATGGATGCTGCACATTGGTGGTGGTGGAGGGGAGTCCCCATTACCTGTAAAGCACTTTAATAATAATTATTATTATTATGAACTTTAATAGACGAATAAAGAAAACAACTCAAAAACTGTTTACTATAAATGGTTTAGTTATTGTAGGTTAACTGTATGATTACTAATGGAATGACTAATTGATTGCCATATGGAGACTGGTTACATATGAAGTGTGCTTACAGTTCACAGTTTATTGGTAGACCAGACTGCTGGACATAGTATCTGTGAGCTGGGAATGCTTGGGCAAAGGGAAAAGGAGAATGGTTTGAGATGTGTTTTTGTGGAAACAAGATAGCCGTCCCAGCCTGGAGAGAATTACCTACTGCAATTAACCTAATGCAATCAATCTAATGAAGCCAGTAATCACTCCCACATCTGTTCATTTCTCTGGTTTAATGTGTGAAGATTCCCACAGCCAGTCCGCCACAAATGCCAATTTTACCCAGTTGCTTTAATGAAATAATGAGATTATTTTCAGTAATATTAATATAAATATTAATAATCAAAACGTTTCTACTCAGGAACCTGCCACATAATAGTCTTGAAACTTGACAAACATAATTGACAGCCTAACCTGCTTCATATACAAAGTATAAGCTGCTAAATTTTAATTGTGGGAAACTTTTAAAAGGTTTATAATCACTTCTGTTCAGCCTGTGAACTCAGGCTTTGAACTCAAATTATTGATTCATGTTTGAACTTTGAACAACGCACGTTCTTGCATAAAATAAGATTCTTGCCTGATCTACTTTCTTTAAAAAAAAATAGAAATTCTTACTAGTCAAGGACATTATTTGAAATTTCTTCAACCCCATCGCTGACAAGACCCCAAGAAAGTCTTGCAATGCATAAACTATAGCACTGTAAGACAGCCACACTAAGAGAGCCATGGCCATCTATCCAAATTACAGAAATTAAAGACTTCCCACGCTTCAGAAACAAATCAGCTCTAAAACTGGCATTCCTTTCAAACAACAGTATTCGTAAAATCATCACTGTGTTAAATGTAAAAAAAAACATCATTGTGTAAGCTATCAGGCTGGTTTGTAAAATCTTCCCGAGAGCTATGTTATTCATGCATTATGGTACTGACGAGCTGTGTCCCTAAGCGTTTTAAAGCAATATATACAGTACACATAGTCATTTACCAGGTAGACGAAGAGCTTGCGAAGACATATTCAATATCATTTTTTACTGGCAATGGAAAATGTCCATACTGCACAAATCCAGTGTGAAAGATGACTAGGGTCATTCTTATTGAACCTATCTCAAACAATCTAGTGATTACTAAGAAGAATCGAGAATGAATATTGTACTAATTTGCTATGCTTAGTTGTTTACCGTTCCTGGGAAAACGCCAGCGCCTCCGGGGTTTCCTTCCTCTGTGGCTCTGGAGATTCAAAAATCGCTGCCGAGGGCTCAGCAAGCTGGACTGGACCCGGAAAGGGCGAGGGCTGTTGATACTTCGCACACAAGACCAAACCGTGCCAAGTGACAAAAAGCGCTCATCTTACTCAATACTTTCCCCCACGTCCGTTTACCGCTTGTAACCAGGATAATGGTTAAGCGGATCCGAAACCCGCACAGCGGTTTAACATAGTTCAAGCGCTGGTACTGTATTCAGTGTTTCCGGTATAGTATCAGAAGCAGGTGAAAGTCGAGCTGTTCAGCTCAATTCCGAAGCTACTTCTTCTTTAGAGCTGTTGAAGCGTGTGTTTTTTGGCCAGGTCCCGAATATTGGTGCAGAGCAACTCTACTTCCTGGGTCCAGTCGCCCCGTACGGAACTGCTTAAACTCCAGCCCTGTCAGTAATCGGAACCACGCCCGCGATATCCACCCTACACGACCACTCCGCTTAACTACAGGAATAATCACGACTGTTTCACGGTTGTAGGCGCACCTAATCAACAGGCACGCAAAACATTTTGGTTAGGTACGCAATTTGCAACTTATAACATAGTGTCCATTTAAACGTCCACGGTTTAAATGGTAATTTGCTACTGTCAAGAAAGGCCTTCTAGGTAGTGCGTTATGTTAAAGCCTGTAAACTTCCGCATTCAATTACTTCAACGTGCTTCACGTTACTATGGATATAGGGAATGTTCGCTTTCTGTCAACTCGTTGTACATTTAATAAAGACCGCGACGTAGCTTTCTATACGTCTCATTTAACCGTTTACCGCCACCTAGTGAAAATCGTTGCAGGTGTTCTGTTTTATGCAGGGCCTGACGTAGATGGTCATTGTGTTGCGGATATTCATACCACGGGGATGCATACATTCTGTAGCGCCCTCGCCCGGTGGTGAGGAGGAGGCGCACCTAGGCACTCAGGGTACCGCGAAGCAGGCTTGGAGTTGTAGCCCGCGGAGTCTGAGGGTCAGCACGATCACCAGCAGCTGACCCTGCTTATGTAAATAGTGTTATATTAGTGTTAATTACAGCTTAATTTAATAGGATATACGTGTTAAGTAGGCATCCATCTAAATTTCATAAAAAAGTAGTTATTATAAGGTACAGGTTTCGTATGCATTGGTGTCATGATGTCCAAATCTACAAATCTTTCACCTTCCGCTCACAAATATAAGGCCTGTTCAGAAATAAACATGATGATTTACTTGTGCTCTGTAAGGCTGGACAGGAAACTCCGACACGTGTAATTGTCAACAGTATAAATACTATACAAAGTTATTTTGGATAGACTGCAAAACATTTTAAGCGTTTAAATGTACATTTAGATGTACTAAATGTTAGGTTTTATGGAATCTGATATTATTTCATTCTTTGCAATATGTAATACGGAAAAAGAACATTTACTTTAAATTAGTCTGGTAGTAATACTGGGTAGATATCTATGAAAGCCCGTTTCCGCCAGGGAGTAAAAAAATGCGCTATGGTATCTCGCAGCTGCAACTTTGTGTCTCAGAATTCCGACTTTATATCTCTCCATAGGATATCACATTTACACAACACATTGGTCTGATGCTGCTCCCTTCTTTAATGCTTATGAGATGGAAATGCAATATGACTTGAAAAATTACAAAGCCCAAAACACAAAGGATGTATGTAAAAGCTTTAACTCGTTGTGGTCCTGCGGTGTTAAACGTGTGAAGCAGAGGGCTACGCCTCGGAGTCAGCGCCTGGATGACCCTCCGCGGCGGCAGAGAGGCGGGGGAAGGAACGTCTCTATGGATCTGTGCAGGGAGGGGCTGTCGGGAGACACAAGCCTGAAATAGATCCTTCCCCAGCACTGCGTTTAAAACACACACCGTAGGTCCTGCTAAAAACAAAATGCGGAATCCAATCTATATTCTTTGCTTATTCTAGCGTAAAATAATCAATAATATGCTCCGACACACTTCATATATGCTGGAAAATACTCTTTTCTCATGAGATATATATGGGCTTCTGTTGAAAATACGTTTTATAGATAATGTACCTACGTTAGCTGCAATTATATTCGGTATTTTTATAGTTAATTTGTTTTTAATTTTTTATTAAATGTCTAAAGAATTTACAAATACAAATAAAACTAGAGGAACAGAAAGAGGTAATGGGGTAAATTATATTTTTTACATACAGTATATCAAATATTTTCCTTGCTTTGGCATTTTTCAATTTTTTATAGAATTTAAATATTTTTTAACTCCATCTCAAAAGTACTATAAAGGGAGTAATAATAATAAAAAAACTTTATTTTATATAGCACCTTTAAAGGTGGCTTCTCAAAGCGCTTTAAAAAAGGCGGTAGCAAGTGGTGAAGGTATTATTGGACCATTTTGATTTATGAATATGAAATTTACCCAGAATTACTAAAAATGTATTATACTTTTTCCAAATTTCCTCTTACACACTACAACAAAATACCAAAGTCCTTAAATCTAAAAACACCTTTAAATGCCTGGAAACAAAACTCTGCAAGTCCGTCCAAAACAACTTCACATACACCTAACAAATAAATGCACCTAAGATTCTCCTCCAGCCCGACAATATATATTCAGTATTTATGTGGTCTGAGCACGTTTTGCTTTCGTCTTAAAATTGGTACATAAAACAGAGAAAAGCTGTGATTGCACATTTGTGCATGTCATAACCTCTTGGCTTGTGATTAATTAAGGTGTTCCAACACGTGGCAGGAGAAATGAAATGCAAAGTTCTAAATCAAAGAAAGGATTATAGAATAACGCTTAACCGTGAAGCGTTAGTGCAGCCCTGTGATTTATCCCGCTCTGTTCCACTCTGTATCCTAAACGCCAGGGTGCTGTAATTAAGACTGTCCGCACAGTCTCGCGTGTCTTCTGCGGCACATCGACCGCCGCACTTCTCTGATTGGCTGGGAGGGCCCAAGGAGGGAGGGGAGATTTCGGACGTCCCCTGACGTCTGGACGGAATGACGTCAGACGCCGTGGATTGGCGGTCTGCCATCTTTGATTGTGCTATAGGCCGCGGCGCGAGCTAGGCCCGTGTGAGCAACAGCAGCTCGGTCTCTCCCACGAGATTGCTCGAGACGCTCTAATCCTTTGGCGAGAACCGGGAGGCGAGGCGCAGGGGCAGACCGTCACCGTCCGCTCCACGGCGGACAAGCACACAGAGGAAGAGGGACTCGGCGAGAGAGAGAGAGGGGCGCAGACACAGCAACGGCAGCAACACAGGGCCCCAAAGGCAGTGAAAGGAGCCCGCAGTTCCTATTGTAACCTGCCGGCCGCACTGACTGGGAGAGCGGGCCGAGACCCGACGCTCGGACCGTGTGCAGCGGGAGAGGCGAGCGCAGGGACCGGCGGAGACAGGTGGGGGAGACCGGAGCTCGGGTAGGCCCGCCGGGGGTGTGTGGTTCAGGGAGGCTGCAGAGGTCCCCGGTGCTGGAGCGTACAGACAGAGGAGACCTTGTGCCTGCGGGAGAGGGGAAGGTGGATGTGCTCTTGTGCGGTTAGAGAGGAGGAAACGGATAAGGCGAGATTAAAACCGGTCCTATTTGGGTTATGCGAGACGGGCTGAGTCGGAGGCGTTTTTAGTGGAGGGAAAAAATGGCAGGGTTTTTTTTTTGGGGAAAAGCGTGCTCGTCCAGTCAGCTGCTTTGGCCGCCCGGCCCGTGTTGACGCATCCTGCCTGCTGGAGACGAAGTGAAATTTTTCAGAAGCTGCTAGCCGGCCTCGTCTCGCCGGCGGGGACAGAGCCCTATTGTGGTGCTCGCCCGGCGGTGCCAGCTAACCACTGAACCATTACACGCGAGGAAGGACACCCGGCACCGCTGGGGTGATGCACGGTTATTTCAGGGCGGCTTTGGGAAAAGAGCACTACGGATGACGATGAGCATGGAGATTAAGACATGACGTTGCTCCAGCTTCTTATCTATCGGGGGGTACATTGATTTTCGGTGCAATCAGGCCACGGGCGAAAGTCTTCGGTTTCTGTTGCTTAGATACTTTCACTATCCCTGCCTCCCCCGTCTTGTTCCGTAATGCCGCTGTCTAGCTGGTGCTGCCCGGAAGGACAGTCTGTGTGACTCACGACGCGGTCGGTCGTTACGGCCCTTTGTGATAAAAAAAAAGCTGCAGTAATGTATTATTTCGTCCATTTCCGCCAGCCAGACTGCCATTGATTCTGTCTGAGGGGGAGGTGGGGTTGTCGATCTGTCCCGTTCGCCCCCTTTTCCTGTTATTTTTTTGCGCCACACACATGGAGCGGCATTGCACCGATGTCGGGGCGACGGCTGTAAACCCTGGCCTGAAAGCCGTGGTCAGAGCGGACGGCGAGAGAAGGGCTTCTCGCTCCACCTGAGCGACAGACAGGGGCGTGGAGTCTGCTGCTCAGACGGCATGGGCGTGTAGCAAAGAGCCACCTGGCCCGGCGCTGAGCCCAGGAGCCAAGCGCGGGGAGCTCACGGGCTGTGCGTCCCCTTGACATTTCGCCATTGAGCATCGCACCTGCTGGGGTCCGTTCGCCCTCTCCTCTTGCCTTGACATCTTCACAAACTCATGGCAGTGTGCAGGAAGCTATTTTTTAGTTCTTGTTTTTTTTTAGACCCAAGAATAGGCATGTCCTTATCGTAGAAGGAAATGGGTCTTCTATAATAGTTTGAGGTCTAGGCTCCAACGGACTGGTAAATTGTTTCTTTTCAAACTTTTTTTGCAGGCAACATGGTTAATGACCAATGGGAGTAGTTTTCTGTGCTGCCTTTTTACGGACTGATAGATGACATGGGAAGCCTTAGGTTTTGCAGTAACTTGAACTCATTTTGATCCTTATTCTAATCTAGAAGATTTTATTTTAGACTCCCGTGGCATTTATCAGATTAAGAGGTGCGAGTCGCTGTAGAGCAGCCACAGGGTTTTGAGTTCAGTCCCTGAATGCTCAGAGCTGGTGGAGCTTTTGATGATAATGTATGGGTAGAATAGGAGTCTTTTAGAAGTGGGGAGGACTGTGATCCTCACGTCATATAGCACACTCAATTCTAAGTGAAGATCTTAGAATTTCAGCTCAGAATGTATTCCTAGTTGTGGGAGTATGTGTGTTTCAGTGCCTGAAGTAGAATTTGAAACGAAGGGGCTCAAGCACAGTGGGAAGATTGTTTTATGTCTAGAGCTTTGACCAGAACCTAGTTAAATATATTGCACTTATTTGCAGTGGGAGGCTCTGGGTTAGAACCTTGTTGCCTCAAGATGCTGAGTTTTGGAGTGTATTTTGAATCCACCTCGTATGACACAAATGCATTCGTCTTGCATGTATGTTTTAAGTAGTATCCTTCGAGAGGCTCCGGACACTTACTGTCTGTCCAACTTCATCGCTTCCAAGATGAGAGTACAAGATGCAGTGGTGTCGCTTGGCTGGTAGAGCTTGTGCCATGTATGATATGTTGAAACATTTAAAGTTGTGTTTTAGCCCATAGGTTTGCAAGATCTGAAAATCCCATGAAAGTAGAACTTTTTTTTGTCTTTTTTTTTGTGGGAGAAAGAAGGAATTATTTGGTTAAGTGGGCATAAGGCCTTTAAGACCAAATGCTTATATGCCACTGCCGTGGTTTTTATCATGTTGCTGAGATCTGAGATGCAGGTCTTGGTGAACCCCAGCCTTAAGACTTTCTGTCCAGTGCACTGAAAATGAAGCCGATGAAAGCTGGGTAGAACGTCTATCCTCTTCTCAGCACCTTGGATGTGGGTTCCAGCACTTCCCATGAAAGGCTCGGATTCCATCTCTGCTGGAGTTCAGGGGTCTCTCCTGCCTGCAGGCTGTAGGGGTGTACAGTCTTCACATCTGCCTGGCAGCTCAGTGGTGAAAGTGAGCTAAGCCTAAACCACGAGGAAGGTAGAGAGTTAGACACTGGAGCTGGGCAGATGGGGGATATATTCTGTCTTGGTGTCCCCACTGTCCCGTCCCGCCCTCCCAGAGACTCGCTGGTGTGCTGGCTGGGAAGGATGTCTCCTCTCCGTTTCCCAGAGTGGCCTTGAGCTGCTTTTAATACCCTTCGTCAACACAGTTGAAATTGGAGTGCCCCGCCCCAGCAGACCGAGTGGTTTTTGCACCTGCAATCAGTGCATCGGCTCTGCTAATGATTTTTCTTATGGTATGTGGTTGGGGGCATGTTAATCAGGATTGACCATGATCGGTGTATAATGCTTTATACTGTAGCTTAAGCGTGTGGAATATGACGCTTATCGCATGAGCCTCAACACTATTTTTAATTTTTTGTTTTGTTGCAAAACAGTGAGGGCTAGTGCATTTGATTGTTTTGATTAGTTTTCAGTGCAAACATTGTAATGCTACTTTGGAAGTGGCCTAGTTCTGGCCAGCACACAGAAGGTCAGGAAAAGGGATGTAGTAATTCTTCTCATTGGCAAGGTGGGGAGAGGTGTGTGTGTGTGTGGCCTTTTGACATTAGCGATTGTGACCTCCTTGGCTTGTGTTGTCATGGCTGGACCGATGCCTCCCTTTTTTTTACTGCAGCGATTCAGCTGGGAACGCGTCCTTGACTGCCCTGCTCGTTCTAGCACGCTTTATCTTGCCATAGTGACAGTGGCTGTCGGCTCAGCGCAGGGGAAGAGGGATTGATGCTCTCCAGAAAAATCTGTGCGCTCAGTCCCCAGCTCCCAATAATAACTGAACAGGAGTAAAATTGTGTTATCGTTTGCTGCAGCGTGTCGGTGGTGAAGCATGCAGGATGCCTTGCGCCGCCGGCTGGACCACCTGTCTGCACTTCGGAGAGCAGTGAGAGAGGGCAGTCTTAGCGAAGTGTGGAGTGAGGGAAGTGCAGCACTCCGGCAGGCAGACAGCGGCGAGGCTATGAATTATTGAATAGCCTCCATGTGCTTTGCAGGAGACTCCCAGCCCAGACACTGTCACTCTTGCACTCTTATAAGCGGTAGCCATAGCAACCTGACATGCTTCATTGATTCAAACAATGGTGTTTTAAAGCTGCAGTGCCCCATGCTGGTTGTAACATTGTGCTATAATACTGTTTGCTTTCCTTCTTCTCTCCCCAGTATTCGCGTTACTACAGGAGAAAATCAGAACAGTTACCAAATGAGAGGAGGCTATTTAACACGTATTCAGATTCAGGACCACGCCTGCTTGCGCGTTAGTAGCTTCTCAATGCTAGGATCGTACCCTGCTCTTTCTCAGAAGAGCCTGGGGAGTTTGTTTTGACAGCCAGGCTAGATAGATGGATAGTTTGCTTCTTAATTTTAATGTTTCACTCTTAAGCTGCATGCGCACTGAGAGTCAGTATGCTATCGGGGGTTCATTTATTCACACAGTGCTGATCAGGTGAATTTGGTACCTTTTAAACCAGATCTTTACATTTTTACATGAATAATATTGTATTTCTAGATAAAGTGATACATTAGTAATTGTCCTTATTTTCACTATTTTCCGTTAGTATGACTCTTAAAATTCAATCAGTCATTACTAGACAGTCTCATTTTAGTGGGAGTTGTTCATAGTTTTGTTAAGCATATTTCATATTCATCCATTTGTTGTGCACTGCATTTCCATCTTGTTGAAAAATATTGCATTAGTGTCTTGTTCAGCTACTGCCAAGTATAAATGTACCTTAAGAGTACCTTAATCTTAAAAAAAAAAAAACTAAGGCTACATTAGGAAGCTGCAGCGGTCTGGTGCACCTTAGCCTTGGTTCTGGGAGAACTGGAGAGCAGTGTCACCTGTAAAGTCTACTTTAAACCTTTTCTTCTGGCCTCCAAGCCTTCCTATTCCTGATGGCCTGTTTGAGGCAGCCTGGGTGCCGTTCGTGAGCGCTTGATCGTTTCTTCATGCATTCATCTCCAAACAAACTGTGCTGAGCACTGAAAAACATCTGAGGGCGAACTTGCCCTAAGTGCTTCAGCTCTTTTGTTCTGTGTGTAGTTTTCTGAATGCCTGGTGTTTTCTCTTCTGATGAAGTGTCTTCACTGGTGTGCCCAGGGAGGTCTTCTGGCTTGGTGTGGCTGATTGCATCAGTATTCTGTCAGAAGTGCGCCAGTACTTACAAAACTTTGTACATTGTGTAAGTTGCCCAGCTTAATGGTGTCTGCGTAATGGAGTGAATAGTAGCGCTCATTGAGCCGTCTTGTCCATATTTTGATTTCATCAGTGTACTTGCACTGAAGACAAGAAATTCTTTAGCTGAGTGTATCTTGCAAAAACACTTTGTGTCTTGGAAAACTTGCCGGTAATGTACTAGTTGATTAATGTAACTGTTCTGTTTCGTTATGCATTGCTCTCTTTTTGCATTGATAACTAAATTTGCCCTTTTTTAGTAGCACAGTGTGGGGAGGCTGTACTGGAATCAGACTGGTGCCCCTGGCCTGGCGCTTACTTTGTGCCTCTTTGTCCGTCCCTGACAGGGGGCTGGTTCTGAGGGGAGAGGCCGGGGTATCAGACTCAATGAGTTTCCAGCGAAATGTCCGAGAAGTCAGGGCAGAGCACCAAGGCAAAGGATGGCAAGACCAAGTACGCAACCCTTAGCCTCTTCAACACCTACAAAGGCAAGTCGCTGGAGACCCAGAAAACTGCAGGTGAGCCAGGTTTAACTCCCTTCGTACACTTTCAGTACTGTTTCAGGAGTGCTGGCTGTGTGTAAGAGCAGTGCCACTGGACAGTAGAGGCTGTGCCTCTGTAACCCTGTATTATAGTTTGAGGGCTTGTATGAGCTTCCTGAATAGCTAATTGCAAACGTATGGATTGCTTGGTGAGGTTGTGAGTGTGTGTGCGTGCGTATGCAGTTTGTGTGACCACAGTTAACAGTGTGTTCATTTGTGGGTTCACCTAGGTTTGTGCGCAGTGGGCTGCTGTGCGCCCGTGTGAGTGTAGTGTTGAGTGTCTGCGCGTGTGTGTGGGAGTGTAGTGTTGAGTGTCTGCGCGTGTGTGTGGGAGTGTAGTGTTGAGTGTCTGCGCGTG